ATGGGATGCCAGTGCAGGTAGAAGTTAACTGACTATGCCACATTGCCAGTCCCTGAAATCCTTTTTGAAAGTGGATGGGTTGGGGGCTGGCATTGTGGTGTAGCGGGTGGGGCCACTGCCTGCAGTACTGGCATCCTATATGGGTTCCAATTTGAGTCCCGGCTGCTCCACTTCCAATCCAGCCCTCTGCTGTGGCCTGGGAAAGCAGTGGAGGATGGCCCAAGTCCTTGGGCCCCTGCACCCGCATGGGAGACCTGGAAGAAGCTCCTGGCTCCTGGATTCGGATGGGTACAGCTCCAGCCATTGTGGCCATCTGGGGAGTGAGCCAGCAGATGGAAGACTTCTCTCTGTCTCTACCTCTCTCTGTAACTCTGTCTTTCAAATAAATAAAATATTTTTAAAAAGAAGAAAGTGGATGGCATGTAAAGCAACTAATATTCTTAAAATCGCTTTTAAGCACTTGAATTTGCCAATTTGTACTTGCAAAATTTACCAAAATACAAATTCAAATGAAACAAAAGAAAATAAATAACTACTCCATCAACATAAAAAAGGTCTCAAAAACATAACTGTATAGAGTAGTAAGAGAAAGATACTAAGATATGACTTCCAAATACATTCAACAGAGATGGATTGTTTGACACGGCAGTTAACACTGCTTGAGATGCCCACATCCCATATCCGAGTGCCTGGGTCCGAACGCCAGCTCTGCTCCCTAGTCCATCTGCTAAAGTGCATGCTGGGCGACAGCAGGGGGTGCTCACGTAGCGGGACCCCTGCCACCACGTGGGCAATCTGGATCAAGCTCTCAGCTTCAGCCTGCCCCTGCCCCAGACTTTGTGGGCATTTGGGGACTGAACAAATGAGTGGGAGATTCTCTCTCTCTGCTGCCCCCTCCTGGAAGGTTCACAGCTGCCAGGTCCAGCATCCATTCTCTGGTGAAGGCTTGGCCGTGACCTCAGTGGACGCTGCCTTTTTTTTTTTTTTTTTTTTTTTTTTGACAGGCAGAGTGGATAGTGAGAGAGAGACAGAGAGAAAGGTCTTCCTTTCACCCCTTCAATGGCCTCCACGGCTGGTGTGCTGCAGCCGGCGCACCGCGCTGATCCAAAGGCAGGAGCCAGGTGCTTCTCCTGGTCTCCCATGGGGTGCAGGGCCCAAGCACTTGGGCCATCCTCCACTGCACTCCCGGGCCACAGCAGAGAGCTGGCCTGGAAGAGGGGCAACTGGGACGAAATCCAGCGCCCCGACCGGGACTAGAACCCAGGGTGCCGGCGCTGCTAGGTGGAGGATTAGCCTAGTGAGCCACAGCGCTGACCATGGACGCTGCTCTTTTAGGGCCAATCTGTCAGGTTGCAGGTACAAGTTTCAGTGTAAGATCAGTGTGCGCCATGTAGTCAAGATTATGACCGTGTCATCGTGGTATAGAAGGTTGGAGTACAACGCCCTCTAGGGGTTGGGAGGGTAAGTGTTCCCCAAGAACCAGCCAAACTTGAGGACTTGCTGATGTTACCCATACTGTGGGTAACCCATACCATGTTACTCCATACTGTGAGATGGTGGGGAGGCCCTGGAGACCCCCCAGAGTGGCCATCCCACCTGGCCCACATTCAGAGAATTCAGGTTAGCATGGTGGCAGGGGAACACCAAAGACAAAAAAGGGAGAGCTCAGAAGATCTGAACAGCTAATGGCACCAAAGGCAGCTTGGTTAGGCAGCCTGCAGAAAGTCTGTGCCCAGCCACACCTGTGAGGTCTGTGGCTTCCCAAGTTCGCCTGGATTTCCACCTGCCTCTGATGGCAGTGCTCAGAGTGGAGGCAGGCAGCAGGCCGTTGAGTTTCATAGGAACCTGCCGGTGAAGGGGAGACCTGAGAGATGGGTCAGGAGACCCCAGGAACCTCTAACACAGGGATCAAATTCACGACCTTTGTCCACCCAGGCACATGAGGTTGGTGAGAAGCAGCAAAGTCTGACTCTGTATCCAGACCCAGGCTCCAGTCCCAATTATCCCACACCCTGCATGTGTTCCTGGCAAGGTGGTGAGCCCGGCTCTGCCTTGGCTATAGAACTCGTCACAACACAACCTGCCAGGGGAGGGGTCAGGGCCAATGAGTCGATACAGGTAAAGGGTGTAGGCGATGACTGGCCTCTGGTAAGCGGATGCTCGTACATGCTGGCCATTGAGCAGCCTTAGGGAGAACTGGGGGCACCGACTGCAGACCGAGGGCTGGTGATGCCCAAGGGAAACCAGAGCAGTAGGATGTGGCACAAATACAAGGAGACTTCAGAAATTCAGAGGGAAATGGAACTAAGATGCTTGCTTTGGTGTGAAGAGAGATTTCAATCCATGACTGTTTTATAATATTTTCCATGAACGTTTTGAACATTCTGCCTATCTGAAGGACTTGGTCTAATTTCCATTTAGTTTAACACCCAGGACTTAAAAATTATTTATTTATTTCAAAGGCAGAGTTATAGAGAAAGAGAGAGGTCTTCTATCTGCTGGTTTACTCCCCACTTGGTGGCCAGGGCTGGAGCTGTGCTGATCTGAAGCCAGGAGCTTCTTCCGGCTTTCCCACGCAAGTGCAGGGGCCCAAGGACTTGGGCCATCTTCCACTGCTTTCTCAGGCCATAGCAGAGAGCTGGATTGAAAGTGGAGCAGCCGAGACATGAACAGGTGCTCATATGGGATGCCGGCACTGCAGGCGGCGGTGGCTTTACCCGCTACACCACAGTGCCAGCCCTGTCACCCAGCACTTTTATAACTATGCTGTAAGCTCCTGAAGTCCTAGACAGCGATGCAGAACATGTTTGGCTGCAGCACCTGCCCACGCTGGCAGGGTCTACTCACCTGCTGCCTCCTTGTTGTATCTGCAACCCTGATGCCAAAACACAGAGCTTTCCCAAGGCTCGGGGTCCTTCTCCAGAGGCCAACATTGCTGCCTTTCTCCTAAAACGCTGTTCACTCAGCAAAGCTTTGGAACCAGAGTTGTTGACATTCTATGGTGAGACCAAGTGAGAGTCTGTATCATTGGGAACTTGGCACCCTCAGCCACACAATAGCTGTCAGCCCTGAGTGCTGGCCACGTGCATGCCCTAGCCTAAGTAAATCCAGCAGGGGGCGCACCCTCCCATCTTTCTGTGGATGGACTTACGAAGAATTGTAGTGCTGTGTGTTGGAGCAGTCTGAAAGCAGGACAGAGGTGGGCTGCTCCCTCGGCAAAAGCAGGCATTTCTGGATTGAGGGCTGTTAAGCTCCTCATGGGAGTTTGCTGTCAAGTCATTTTTCTTTGTCATTTGAAAATTTAAAACAGAAAACTGTCTGACAGTCCGCAGCAAAGCCCGGCTCCCTATAACCATGCACAAGGTCAAAGGTGGAATGTGGAGAATGTGGGGGAAGGCGCGGGGGGCCCAGGGGACTCCACCCTTTGGCTCTGGTCCTCCTGGCACATTCCTCAGGTGCCTGAAGGCATCTCTTCCTCCAGCCTGGCCGTGGAGCCAAATCTAGAGGCCTAAATGCAGTTTCAAAAGCAAACGATGATTGGCTTTCACTAATAGGATAAAATTTGGCCTCGAATGATTTTTTTAAATATATATATAAAAACAGAGGTGAGCGTTTGGTATATGGGTTGGGTTGGCCTCATCCCATATCGGAGTTCCCTGAGCTCAAATCCTGGTTTCCTTCCTGCTTCCTGCTAATGGCACCAGGAGGTAGTAGGTGATGGCTCACACACCTGGGGCCTTGTCCCCTACGTGGGAGATGCAGACTGAGTTCCGGCTGCCCTGCTTTGGCCTGGCCCAGCCCTGGCTGTTCTGGGCATTTAGGGGGTGAGTCAGCAGCAGATGGCATCTGTCTCTCTGCCTTTCAAATACAATTAAAAAAAAAAAAGTAAACAACTTATGGAGAAGCTTTGAGGATTTATGACACTTAGAGCATCTCCTTTGCACTTGGGATAGTCCCTCCAGTTGCAATGAGGGGAACCCGTAGCTGCAGGACAGAGGCAAGAGGGGGGCTCTTGACCCTGACCAGGGCCAGTGCATGACGCAGTTCTGGGCAGGAACCAGCATCCATCTGCAGTGGCTCCAACAGCTCAACGAAGAGCTGCTCTGGGGGCTGGCAGTGTTGCAGGAACCACCACCACCACCACCACCCCCACCCCCACCCCCCAGGGCTGCCTGGGAACATGGGGAAAAACAGCCACAGGCAGCCACAGCCCCACTGAGGACTGGAGGAATAGGAAAAGAGGCACCCACACCCATTGGAAGCTGGAGCTCCTAGGGAGCAACAAAGGACTTCCACCTGCTCCCACAGGTGGAACCCAGCCAGAGAGGGCCTGGAGAGGACCCAAGGATTCAGCCTCTGGAGGGCAGGGCAGGGCACTTCTTTGTCGGAGTGAGGGAGATGGTGTACACAGTGGCTACAGGGGAACCCACCAGGTGTAGGAAAGTGAAGGAGTGCCTGTTATGAACAGAGAAAGAGCCTCCTCTCTGGCAACTTCTGACTGGGCAACTGGATTTTTTTCAAGATTTATTTTATTTATTTGAAAGAGTTAGAGAGAGGTAGAGACAGAGAGGTCTTCCATCCACTGGTTCACTCCCCAGATGGCTGCAACAGCCGGAGCTGCACCAGGATCCAGGAGCTTCCTCCGGGTCTCCCACGTGGGTGCAGGGGCCCAAGGACTTGGGCCATCCTCTACTGCTATTGCAGGCCATAGCAGAGAGCTGGATCGGAAGAGGAGCAGCTAGAACTAGAACCGGTGCCCAGGGCGTTAACCTGCTGTGCCCAGCACTGACCCCTGGGCAACTAAATTTCTCAATGTGGTCACCACTCAGGGCCAATGATTCCCTTCAGGGTCACCACTGGCCACTCTGCAACCTTTATTTAAGAAATGGTTCCAGGGTGGGGACAGCACAGTTCTTTCTCTGCTCATTCCTGGATCCCACCTTAACAGTCCCCTTTAGTGAGCACAGAGCCAGGGGCTGAAGAAAACAAGGAAGTCGAGATTCTTGCTGGGTAACAGTTTATTCAAAGGAAGTCTTGCTTTACCCAGGAATTCACTTACATGGAGGTAGCTGCAGTAAGAATCCGTTCCTTGTGATCACCCAGAACAATCAGACACCCCACAGCCAATCAACTTAGCAGAAGAACCCTCAGAAGCAGGAAAGAAAATTAGAAAAGAGATGATTGTCTCCTTGGCACCGCATTTGGCCACGTGTTGGCTTTTACATTTTTAAGCTAGCTAAAGAAAATACTCATGAGCAGGGTTAGTTCTTGAAGCAATAAACAGGATATATATATATATGTATATATAATAAAAATCAAAGAATAATAGGTTACAGTGGGAAAGGACCTTCGGACCTAATCCTCTTTTTGTCCAAGGCAACGCACAGCCTTTGAGAGCGCCCTGTCCAGGTCAGGGGTAGGGAGATGATGAGCAGGGATTGGAAACGCCTCTGTCCATGCCCAGTCCAGTGTTCCTCTCAACCCTCTGTACGTATTGCCAGCCCTATGACACTGTAGGGTGGCACGTTCATTAATGCATACCAGGCTGCTTCTATAATAATGACACAGGTGTGTGCAATGTGGACTTCCTTTCTCTTTTCTTGGGCACTTTGGCCACCAGGCTGAGGGGCAAACCAAAACGCTCACTCCTGGAGGGCTGGCGCCCAAAGACCTCACGTTGCAGTTCCAGTAAGCCTTGGGACATTCCCAGGGAGAAGGGGTCCATTTGGTTGTTATCTATGAGCCCCTGAGCCCCAGGAGGGAGGTTGTTTTATTACCTGTATCAGTCAAGGGCTGTGCCCAACACAGCATAGGTGCCCAGGAAATACTTGCTAAGTGAAGGAATGGTTAAAGGGAGGAACGTCTCCATACCCAACAAATGAGCCAAGGCAAGGACGGTGATTGGCTGGAGGTAGAAAAAGCTGAACCCTGTGGGGTGCGGGACAGCGATCCTGGAGTCCCCTGGTCCATGGGCCTCTGCTCTAGGCTGAAGCTTGGGGGCACTCACCTGGCCACTTCACTGAGCAGTCTGCCCGGTGCTGGCCTGTGGGCACCTCTGAGGGCTGTCACAGTAAGCAGTGACGAAGAGTCGCCCTGTGCAGTGCAGCCAGGAAGCCTTGCCCCATCCCCAGTCCCAGCAATGTCCCTTGGTGGCAGGAAGGCAGAGGCAGCCCTCCAGTGTGCACAGCCACACCTCGGCCTGGCTTGTGATCCTTTCCTCTCTTTCTTGACTTCAACCTGAGCTCCTGCTCCACCCACCTCACGCCTATACCTCCCCCTAGCTTTCACTTTCACCAACTTGTGTTCCTCTTCACCCCTGGCCCCACACCTTACTCACCTACTGTCTCCCTATGACCTTAGTGAATACTTCCCCCGCTAAGTCCATGAGCCCGGTCCCGTCTCCTCCCTCATCCCACTGTGTCAAAGCAAGTGCAATAGGTGACTAGGAATTCATCTTAGTGGGGTTCAGATAAAGTCTAGGTAAAAAAAAAAAAAAAAGCAACCAAGGCCATGGCTACAGCTCCTAGATAGAAGTGACTCCCCTCTCTCAGGCAGCAGGTTCTCACCCAGACTGCTCAAATTTCTATTCTCCATCGTCATGACAATTCCTTTTTTTCAACTCTGACTTCCGAAGTAGTTATTCTACTTTTACTCACGCGCTCTCATCTCTGCTCCTTAATACTAGTAACTCCTTAGAGACGTGCAACCTTACCAAACTGGCCACCCTGCGTAGGCTCTCTAACGTTCCCAAATGCAACAGGAGCAGCCTGTGAGTGGCTCTGGTTTAAAATGTGCACACCCCACACATCCTTCCTCCAGGCACAATGGCTATTCAGTAATCACTAGCAGCTTGGACCCTTGCTGGTGGCAGGAGCTGTAAAGAACACAGGCCTCATTCTAGCAAATGACATTTTCCAAAAGACCCCCGAAGGTGGGTGGGTCGATGCCTTGGGAATCTCGACTGTTGAAAGCGCAGTAGCTCCCTGCATACGATCCAAGGGGCGCTCAAGCACGCAGAGACCGCAGGCAGGCAGGCGCCATCGCCGGCTGGGGGTTAGAGGCAGCGATGGGTCTGCACCGCAGGCTCTCCCTCCCTTCCCTGCTCCCTGCAGAGTTCCTGTTGGGCAGGGGAGCCACTGCAGGTCCTGGAAGCGGGCTCAGATCTGGCTGGTGAGGGTGCTGTCCTTGGGGTAGGTGTAGCTCAGCGGCGCCTCATAGAGGCTGCCCCCGTCGGTGCTGAGGTCATCGTCATCGTCATCCACGTCATCCAGCACCTTACTGGGCAGCTTCTTGAGCCTGCTGAAACAGTAGAGGGCTTGGCTCCCGGCCTGGGGCTCATCTTTAGATGCAGGGTCCACCCCCCGGAGTGCACAGAAGCACCTGAACTTAACCCCTCTGCACCCAATGGTTCCTTTAGCATCAGGGCATGGGAAGTTGCAGTTAATAATACTGGGCCTGGCCCACCCTATTTCTTTCTCCAAGATGGCTTGGTGGGGTACTAGTGCTGTTCCCATCTGAATTGAAGATTTTTATATGCAGTATTTTTGAAATGTGATCCCTCTAATTACTGGGATTCGGGGTACCCTCTGAGCTGAGCTTGGGGCCAGTCTCCTGTGCATTTCTAAGAGAACAACATAGGCAGCCAGCTCACAGCCCAGGGCCCATCAGCCTCCAAGAGGGGCTCAACTTCATGGATGAGCAGGACCCTGGATCTTAGGCCACTCCCCTACCCCCTCCCATACAAATACCCTAGGACCAGGGCAGGGGAACTTTAGAGCAGCTCTCTCCTCAACCCAGCGTAGGGACATCCCAGTCCCCAAGAGGGTAGAAAACGAGACTTTACCTCCTTCTTTCCTTCCTAAGTCAAATAAAAGCAGGCTTGTCTAGGCAGCACCCTCTTCTTGGGGGTGTGGGCAAGGTAAAATCTACCCCAAGCCCGGGTTCCCCCATGACCTGGATAACAGCTGGGGCCCCAGCCCGGCGCCCACCTGAGGTCCTTCTTCATGGAACTGAGTTGGCCCTGCAGCTGCTCGTTCACGTCCATCTGCTCCTCCAGCTCCCGCTGCAGCTTCTTCTTCGAACTCTCCAGTCTGTCGATTTCCTCTTCCGCCTCCTCCACCTGTCGCTTCATGGCTTTCAGGCGTAGGCTCAGCTGCGTTGGGAAAGGTTAATGCTGCTGCTGGCCCAGCAGGCTGGGATGGGGAACAGCCCAGCGTGGAGGGGCCAGGGAGCCAGCGCTTTGCTCCCGGCCAATGAGATATGGACGATAGGGGTAACCAGTCCCACGGGGAAAGCAGGAACCGACCTCCAAGACAACTCGGCCTTTTAAAAGCCAAGCGCGGGGTGTGAAGTTTGATTAAAATCCCCACTCTGTGCTTAGCATGGGTAAGTGAGAAGGGTAGGGATCAGCCCGCCCTAACCCTATGCCTGCCGGGTCAAGTCTCGCCTCTCTCCTGCCCCCTCCCCCCACACACACAATCCCACTGCAGGGCAGACGCTCAGAGGCTCCCTCACCTGGTCCTTTTGGTCGGTGAGTGACAGGTGCTCATCGTCCACCTGCAGCACCAGCTCCTTCACTTTCCGCTCCAGCCGCCGGTTGCTGAGCTGGAGGCTGGCCCGGTCCCTGGAAGCGGGGTGGGGGTAGGGGGCAGAAACCGAGGGCCCCTCTCAGTGCCAGCGTCACAGGTTGCACCTGTGTAGGTCTGTTCTAAGCTGCTCAACCTGCTAATGGTCCTACTGAGAGAGCACAAAGAGCACACCCTTCTAGGAAGGCAATGGACCATGCGTCTGGTCAAGGTCAACCAGGTGCTGACCTTGAGAATCCTCTAGAGAGAATGGAGGAGGTTGGTCCCCTGAGCCCATGTCCCCTCCATCCTCTGTGGGAGGACCTGGCCCATCATTGACAGATAACACACCAACCTCTGTGTGCAGGTACCTCGCTCCCAAGGCAGAGTCAGCCTCCTGGCCTCTGCTCAGGCGTGAACAGAAGAGTGTAGGAGGCTGGGTGTGGCCCTTAGGGCACGGGAAAGCACAGGAAGGCTATGGATTTGGGGGCTCTAAATTGTAATCGTGCTACACCCATGATCAGCCAGGCCTGTCTTCCTCAAATCATGAACTTGAATCATGAACTGATCGGGGGCTGCATGTTCTTGGCCTTGTTAGCAGGGTGGGAGGAGAGGACAGACACAGGCTCTCTGCAGGGCCGCTGTCCCGCAGTGGGGCTGGCTCACCTCTCCTCGCTCTGCAGCCGCTCCTCCAGCTCTGCGATCCGGGCCTCCATCTGCGCCACCAGCCCATCCTTGCTGCTCCTATAGGAGCCTTCCAGGTGGATAATGCGGCTCTTTAAGTCCTTGTTCTGGAAACAGATGGAGACACTGTGAGGGGCTGTGTGTGTGCCATGCTCTGTGCAGAACACACGTGGAGCTCAAGGTTGGGTCAATGCCTGTGCGTACATGTGGGCCAGGGAAAACTCTTGAAGCCTAACAAGTCAAAAGACACTCACGCCTTTCCCAGGAAGCCTGAATGAAATCCCTGGCATGTCCTAAGATTCCAGGACATCAAACAGGCTTGTGTTGACTTCTCTCCCAAATATTCATAGGAGAAGTGACATGAACAGAAAGCAGAACTAATGGCTCTGGGCAGCTTTCTTAGTCACTGGTGACGGATGGTGCTGATTCTTCTTCATGCCCATTACGTTGGAATGTAGCCCTCTGATGTTTCTATCCCAAAGTCCTGGAGGAGCCCAGGGGCCAGCAGCTCTCACCTGTCTCTCCAGGGAAATCTTGTCGCACTCCAAGTCCTGCCGCACAGCTCTCTCCTGAAGTAGCTCACTCCTCACCTGCTCCATCTACAGCAAGCAGAGCAAAGCTGAGAGTTAACAGGTTTGTCCCCGTAGTCTCAAAATGGTTCCCAGGTACGACCAAGTCAACTGCTCTCCATGAAGGAGGCCGACAGGACCCCTCCTGCCAGCTGCCCTTGGCTACGGGATCTAGTTCTTGGATAATTTTCATTTTAAAGATATTGATAAGTAGTCAACAGGGGCCGGTGTTGAGGTGCAGCACGTTAAGCCACCACTTGCAATGCCAGCAACCTCTCTGAGTTCCATTTTGATGCCAGGATGCTCCATTTCCAATCCAAGTCCTGGCTAATGTGCCTGGGAAAGCAACAGAAGATGGCCCAAGCACTTGGACCTCTCCCAATCCATGTGGGGAGGCCCAGATGGAGTTCCTGGTTCCGACTTGGCTCAGCCCTTTGGGGAATGAACCAGTGGATGGAAGATCTGTCTCTCCTTCTTTCTGTGTCTCTGCCTTTCAGTAGGTAAATCTTTAAAAGCTAAATGATAATCAGCACGGCTCACCCTGCTGTTACAGGCTGAACTGTATCACCCTAAAAAGGTACACTGACCTCCTCACCCCCAGGACTTCTGATGTGACCCCACTTGGAGATGAAACTTTTACAGAGATAAGTAAGTGTAAAGAACGGTCAAGTGTCCTCATAAAAAGGGAATTGGAGGGGCCAGTGCAGGGGCATAGCAGGTAAAGCCACCGCCAGTAGTGCCAGTATCCCCTATGGGCCCCAGTTCCAGTCCCGGCTGCTCCTCTTCTGATCCAGCTCCCTGCTATGGTCTGGGAAAGCAGTGGAGAATGGCCCAAGTGCTTGGGACCCTGCACCCATGTGGGAGACCCGGAAGAAGCTCCTGGCTTCAGGTCAGCTCAGCTCCAGCCATTGTGGCTGTGTGGGGAGTGAACCACCTGATGGAAGATCTCTCTCTCTGCATCTCGAATAAATAAATCATTTTTTAAAAGGACAATGGAATGCGAGAGGGAAGACGAGAATGTGCCAACCGAAACACAGGGCGGATGACCCATGAAGATGGAGGAGTGAAGACGAACCTACAAGGCAAGGGCCATCAAAGGCTAGCTACCAGCAAATCACTGGAAGTGGGGAAGGGGGGGTCCCCCTGCAGGTCTCCGAGGCAGCTTGGCCCTGCCAACACATGGATTTCAGATTTCTGGCCTCCAGAACTGTAAGACCGCAGCCCTAGCAAATTGCTTAGACTGCACGTGTTCCAGTGTCTGGTATCCCCAGAACAACCCTCAGAAGCAGCAGTACCATCTGCCAGGATCCAGGCTGCTCTCAGGACCTGAGACTTAGAGTGGTAAAATGGGGAGGGTTCCAGGCAAACTAGGACAAGGCTGTTGCCTAACTTGCCTGGGAGCTTTATGACCATGGTCCCAAGGACTAGAACTGCAGCAGCCAGGGAAGCAGGCAGACTTCAGACAAAGCTTCTGGGTGGTCACATCCCAGACACCGGGCAAGTTCTTTCTTGCACCAGAAACAGAAGACAGTGCAAACACTGGGCAGCTCCAGGTGACCTGACAAAACCTAAACTGTACAGAGGGTTGTTTTTGCCAACAGAGAAGGAGTCCAGGGTGAGCTGGGGTCTGTCAGCCTCTCTCTTCCCCAACTCCCAGCTGGCGGCCGCAGGAATGAAATGAGTTCTTAAGGAGTGGAGGCCCCAGTCCCTGTTTCCAGAACTGTCCAGCAGAGGGCGATCTGAAGAAGCCAGGAGCCAGTAGGTGAACCACCAAACAGATTCTTACAAATTCTGGGATCCAGAATGCCAAGGCCTGGGGAGCATTTGACACAAGCATGCCTGACCTTTTTGTCGCATAGTAAAATTCACCCCTTCACCCTCTCTCTCATTGGGAGGGTGATCAAGGAAACTGCTCACACTTCAATGACTGGCATCTGTAAGCGTGTGGGGGGAGGGCTTCTAAGCCAAGAATTTTACAGCACGGGGCTGTCACCATGGTGCCATGGATTACACTATCACCTGTGACTCCAGCATCATCCATATATCAGAGCATCGGTTCAAGTCTGGGTTGTTCCACTCCTGATCCAGCTCCCTGCTAACAACTTGAGAAAGCTACGAAACATAGCCGACCCCTGTGGGAACCCCAAATGGAGTTCTTGGCTTTGACCAGGACCAGCTCCAGCCATTGTGGCAGCAAACCAGAGGATAGAAGCTTGCTCTCATCTTTCTCTGCCCAACTCTGCCTCTCCACTACGTCAATCTTTAGAAAATGTTTACAGCAGGACCCTTAGGCCATAGCTAGGGAGAGGAGAATGAGAACCCACGCTAAGCTCATTCACTGTTCTCTGAACTACCTGAGGGCAAAGGACTCATGGAGACCTCCTGTGGAAAGCCAGCTATAATAGCAAAACCAAGACACGGGAGGGCAGCCTGGTTTTCCACAGGGTGTCCTTATAGACCGCAGGCAAAAAATGCCAGCAATGCAAGGGAGAAGCAGGCAGATCCCAGAACGCCCTGCTCCCACTCTGTCCGAGAGTCCTCCCGGATCACATGTCGCAAAGAGGGCACCACAGCCATTCCTGGAAGTGTTCTAGGAGCACCGGGTCGAAGGGTAACGAATGCAGGCTCACAGCCCAGCTCTGACTGTGGTTTCACACGTGCACCGAGGTCAGCGCCGCGGCTGGGCCACAGGGCTGCGGCCGCACTTCCCCAGCAGAGCTGTGCTGCTCGCACCGAGGACGAGGTTAAACTTCCACTGCCACAGAAAGGAATGACGCACACAAGCAGGGGCCACCTGGCCTCTCTGCCTGGCTCTGCCCACTCCCTCGGGCGTGACCCTGTTCATCTCATTTCTGGGATGCAGGCTTGGAGGCACTGGGATGAGACGGCCTGCTGGCCTGACAGGTAGCCAAAGCAAGTCCTGGCACGTCCTCTGTCTCTGGGGGTATTGTGTGATTGCACCTGCCTCCAGCCTGAGCCGCCCCACCTAACTAACCTTCAGAAATTTCCCCCAGGACAAAGCTCAATCTGTCAAGGTGAGAGTGTGTGACCACAGGCCACCACATGGTGACAAAAGACCTACACCGAGCCCAGCCAGGTCTGGAGAGCACAGCTCCCTTGAAGCCAGGCACTGAGTGACCACCAAGCCCCTTAATCCATTCAGGAGCTCACTGAGGCAGAGATCCTCACCCTGATTTCCCAGGGAGGAGGTTCAGAAACTCGCTGAGTCTGGGTGAGCAGGAGGCAGCTCTGGGAGTCTAACCAGGTTTGTGGACTAAAGAATCATACTTCTTCTTGCCCTGCAGCAAGTCTGTAGGACAGGGGTCTCCCAGTGAAGACAAAAGCTCACAACCAGGCAGAGTCCTGGCGAAGCCCTGGAGCCCAGAAGAGGCATCGGTGTGGAATGAGCAAAGCACACCATGGAGGGGTGTGGCACCACCTCCGACTCTTGTTCCCTCAGTGCCAGCAGCGGGGAAGAGGAGGCCTGAGCCGGGCAGCTTCCCCTACAGTCTCCCAGGTTCAAGACCTCTCCGGAGAGCCCCGGGCAAGTGGTGACCTCCAAGGGAAGAAGTAAAACACTCATTACTTATACCCCCACCCTGTCCCCTCTAAAGATGGCTATTAAAAGAGAAGTGTAAAATAAATCAGTAAAGAACAGGAAGGAATAAAAATGGAACCATAAAACTTAAGTTACTGTGACCAGGCAGTCCATTTTTCTTGGGTCTTTTGGAAACCAAGGCTATTGGCAAACAGCACAGGCTTCCTTCAATTCTTCAGAAACAACAGCCTAACAGTAAATCCTGAAACAAATCCACCATGTGGAGCCTTAAAGGAACACTACACGGTGTCAGTGCCGATGCCCCCAGGAACGATGGATCTTGTCATGAGCCCAGAAGTAGCCGATGTGTAGCCAATTGCAGCCATGGTCCTATAGTTGGGCCCAAAGACTTGGGAATGGTTAAAATCAGACTTTTATTAAAAAAAAAAAAAAAGTGGAAGGGCGAGGTGAAGAGGTAGCAGGTTGGTCTGCTTCCTCCTTTGGACCAGGGAACTACACTTAAAGCTGGGAAAACATTTCTTTCGGTAAGCCTAGTGCATTAAGTGCTGTTTATCCTTCAATTATGCTAAACAGGCCAAATAAAACTGTCCAACTGAATTAAAAACCTGAACAGGAGCTGAAGGTAGCAGCCTATCACAGCTGGATTGAACGAAGGCTAAAACCCTGAGAACCGGGATCAGAAATCACTGGCTCGGACTGCGCTGGTTCCAGCAGGGAGATCCTGTTGCCGAAGCCGACGCTCCGGAGTAGAAGCAGCTGCCTTTTGTGTTGACGGAGAGCCAGAAATCTGCCAGAGTTACTGATGATCGCTAATAGCAATCTTCAACCCCGTCACCTGTGTTTATTGTGGCGGCAGTAAGGAGGCTGGCAAACTTCCGCTGCTAGCTGGTAGGAAGATGGTAATCCCAAGGAAGGAAAACTATTACAAATCAACCCACCAACTGTACACACTGGGTTTCTGGGAAGCAGTTGTGAGACTGGGATCAGGTCCTGTGAAGAAGAAACCCCACCTTGATCTTTCCCTCGCTGACTGTAAAGGAGACTTATTTCCACCGTCTGCTTTACTGGGAGTTGCACATACTCACCACCCACCTCCTTTCCTGTACTGACTGAGGAGCAGGTGTGAGCTGGCCACGGAAGGACACTTCCCGAACGTGACTGCAGGAGCCTGCAACTTTATCCACTGGGATTTATCCTGCAGTTGCCAAGGCAACGGGCAGCTTTGCTCAGCCCCTGGAAAGACCATGACGCTGCCCAAAGCTTGACTTGGTATTTTTCCTCCCGCCTGCCAGATGGCTGGGCTGGATGAGTCATCTTTCCACTGGGCTGGGTCCCTTGGCCTCCATGCCTAATCCAGCCCTGTTAACTGTTCACACTCGGCTACCAGCAATGGCACAGCAATGCCACTGAGCCAGAACACCAGCCTGCTGTGCACATTTCTATCCCACCAAGCTGCTGCTCCCCTTCGGCTGTGGACTCCTGTGCTCATTCAGTCAGGAGAGGAGAGGATCCAACTTGTATCCTCACCCATCTTAAACAGAACATTTTTCAGTTGGGGAGAAAGACCAGGTGCATTGAGAGTGGCTGTGGGGTCTTTGGGACCCTTACAGAGTCTAATTCGGGAGTGAAACAAATTGCGGCCCTACCTCTTACAAGCTGACAGAGCCAGGCAAGCGCCTCCCCCGTGAGAAAGTGCATAAGGCCCACTGCACAGGTCCAGCGCCCAGAGACGCCTCAGGAAGGCTGGGAATTGGCATACATGGAGGAAAGGGAGGAAAAAAGATTTCTCTGGACTTCAGATTGGAAGCTGTGAAATACTTACCATTCGATAGATTTTCCCTTCAACTCTACTACAGAAGACGTTCTGTAATGGTGAGGCTATATCCTCACCTCTGTTTTAGCAGAGATACATTTTTACCAAATCTGAATCCATTCTTCTCATTGGCCAGATCTGGAAAAAACCATCCAACCTCCCAAAAGATTTGAGAATTTTTTCCTCTCAACTTTGAATCCCTGAATTCATCAATCAGCAGAATACTATCCTGAGCACTGATTGGGGGGAAAGAGCCTTAGAACTTAGAGCCAGAAATTTATTGATCAGCAATTGAATGCACAAGAACAAAAATCCCCAAAGTCTGGAAAAGTTAGGGTGCTTGACCTCACAACTCTTTCCTGTCTTCTGTCCCCGGGTGTCCTCCGCCCCATTCCTCAGCCTACACTCCTGCATGTTCATCTGCTGGAACACTCTACACTTCACTCTTAAGCTCAACAACCTTCAGTGGCTCCCAATATCCCTCTCCTTATGGAAACCTGAGCCTCTTGTTCACTGGCTGGTCCTCAAAATGTTGCATGCCATTCCTACCTCCCACCCTTTGTTCCTGTCACTCATTGCATCTTGGATTCCATTTGTGCTCCTCTGAGCTGGGTTTCAACCTTACCTTGCACCAAAGCTGGTTCCGGCTCAGCCTTTCTCTAATACCTCTCCCGTGGTCACCCTTGCTAGGCTGCTCTTTCCCTGTTTGCTTTAATCCTTCACTCGGCATTCAGTGTCTGCAGTTTTCTTATCGCTACCCATTGTTTAGGTCTAGCCCATCTCCTAGAACAAATCACAGAACCTCAAAGTGGTTTAATCACAATGCCAAGCATAAAGTATTTATCATGTTTGCAAGCATTGCTGGGAGAATCAAGAGGACCAAGGGCAGCTCTGAAGCTCCCATGGGCCGATCAGCTTGTAGCTTTGGACCTCCAACCCTCCTCCATCACGACAAGCCTGGAGACTTGAACTCTGAGGGCTTTGTCCGAGGGATCATCTGTTCACTAACATTGCCGGAAAGCCTTTTTTTCTAGCTTATCCATCTGAGCTCTATCACTAAGACTAGGAAAACGCATGGGAGATGTTTTGGGGGGAAAGCCCTGACTCAGAAGAGCAGCCTGGAGAACTCAGACTTGAAACAGAAAGCAAGATGGAGACAGCAGTAGCTCCCACGCCTTCCCTTTTGAGTACCTCACACAGTTGTCTGGGAACCGGACACTAAGGGTCAGGAGGCAACTAACAAGACATTTGAGGTTTCCTAGGAGTCCCTTGCTAAACAGGTGTCACAAGGCCAGCATTTGGGGCTGGGAGGAGAAAACATCCTAGGTTTAGAAATTTTCCTTTTCTCATTTTGGTTTTAGCAAGAAAGTGACAAGTACTTAACCCTAACAGTTAACCTAAATGGACTGAAAGGACTTCAATATCCTCCATCCGTTGGCCAAGCCATTTCCACAAAGATCAACTGAGAAGCTCCGAGGACTCCACTGTGTCCGAGACGAGTCTTGTTTTACCAGTTTCTACATCAATGTGAACACAATACTCAATTTCTTCATTTACAACAAACACCAGAGAACGCAGCAAGAAGAAAGAAAAGAAGTGGAAATAGAGTTAATGGGAGGGAATGAGGCTACAGACGTTTGTGGAACTCATTGTTGGGGCATATAATTCAGAAAGAAAATGGAGAAATTAAAGGGCAAATCCAACATTTTAGTGTATAAAATTATCTCACAGCATTTCAGTGTCAGAATGTAGGAAAACCTTCAAAACCTCCTGGCTCAATGGCTCATTTTTATGGATTTCTGGAGACTGAGCTGAGATAGAACTTTCCTGGAACCACACGGTATGGGAAAGGACTCGGGGCTGGAACTCTCATCCCAGTGCTCTCCCCACAGCCACCCGAGTTCCCTTAACTTCCTCCCTGGACTGACTTTCGGTTCTGGGCTCAGTGGAAATATTTCAACCGTGACCACATCAGAGAGCAGTTCTAGTCCCCACGATCCAAAGACTCATTTAAGAGGGAAAGGGAGGACGAAAAGCAACTCAGGGAGCAGATTTCAGAGTGACCAGTTCTCCGAGCTTTGGGGCCAGGAGCTGAGCCACTGGGGGCGACCACGTTCTGGCTTGCTGAGCCTGGGTCTGGGTTTTAGGATGAGACACGGGACTGAAACTCTGCTTGAACCGCCTGGTTTCTGAGAGGACGACATACTTTCCCACCACGCCTCCTCTTGCGTGTAAATCACAAGAAGCATCGGCAAAACAAATTCATGGTCACTTCCTCTGTCATTATGAATTCTTAACACATCCTGCAATGCCCGGCGGTGATAGGGCAGCTTAGGCGGGCAGGGAACAACGCCTAACAAAATAGTTTTGATTGTAAATTTTCTCAGCAGAAAGCACGGTCCCCAAAGAGAAGGTTTAGGGCTGAGCTCTCCACCTGGGCTTTCGGTTTTCAGCAATGCTCCACTCTAACGCTCTGCGGCTTGGGTCCGAGGGGCAACACCTCTGCCCCACCCCCCCGCCCCGAAATGTGCTACGAGCACAGCCTTGGAACATGCCACAGAACCCAAGGGAAGGGGGGACTGTCACCTGGGGTTGTGATTTCTTTCATTCTTAGCAGCAAAGTAGCATGCTCGTTCTGGTGAACAACCCTCCTCCGAACAAATCCCTGTTTGAGTGCTTCCTACTGTAACCTATTAAGAGGTTGGGATAGGCACTGGACACAGAAACTAGTTAACAGCGTTACCCACTCTGGAAGAATATGACCACTCCCCCCTACCCCACATGCTACCCAGGACAACACACAGCACTGCTGAGCCTGTGCTACATTAAAAAATGGAAGCAAAATGCAAAAACCTTTGGATGATGCCACGTGTAGCCTGGGAAACTAGTTCTGTCCTCTACTTCCCCGACTGCCTCACACTGTTGTCAGGAGGAGGAAGGTACATGAAACCACTTTCAGACCATAAAAATCTCTCCCTGGGAAGTGGGGTTGCTATCTTGTGAATGCCTCACAGGCATCTACAGTGGCAAGTTCCTAAAGGAAGTTGCTGTTTTGCCACCTACCATGGCACGTGCCACCAGTGTCACACAATTGCTTGTTGAACCAGTAAGTCTTAGAGTCTCAGCTCCAAAAGCACTTTGCCTATGATGGCCAACAGATTGTTACCCATAACCCTTCTAGCAACTTCCACCTTATTCCCTCTTTCCTCGTGGCTTATGACGGGAAGACGACTCAACCCGCCGTCATTTTCCACGTGACGTGAATTTCCCCTGCTTGCTCTCATTGGATGCTCGGGCTTAACCTCGCACATTTGCTTCTCCACACAGGACCGTGTATCCATCACTCAAGAACTGTATTGTACCTGTTCCCTGCTTCGAGTGATCCTCTCGGACAGCAGATCCGAGTTGTTCCTTTCCTCTTCCAGCTCCATCTCCAGCTGAGACACCTTGTCCTGAGAAAGACCACAAACATGCACCACGTAACTTACACTGATCTGGATTAGCAGCAAGGGTTGCCCCAAATGCAAATGAGACGTGAGAGTGACTGGAGTTCAGAAACACGAGCCATCTCCTCCTTCCACTGCCCGGAGCAGGTACTCTTGGAACTACGTTTTCTTGCTTTCATAACATAAAATGAAATTGTGCATGTAGAAAACACAGCAAAAAGAGTACCCCTAACCTAAAGGCTAATGACACTTTAGCGTTTCTCCTTTAAAATCACTGTCCTCCCTATAAATCAGTAACTCTAACAGCAACTTGGTTAGGTAGGTTTGTTTAAAGACATTTTTTCCCTAAATTTATCATGCTCAGAACCATGTATCTCTCCCCCGCTCATGGTTTCCAGCAGCCTTGCCCTGCCTCTCTTGTAGAAAATCCCATCCGCCTTGTACTGTGCATTGAATTAACACAGACAATGCAGGCCAATACTGTGAAATTCATCATCACTAAGAATAACAAATTGTGTCTTCCTTGTTGGCTTCCAATTTAACCTCATTGTGTATTAAGGCAAGATTAGTTTTGTGTATAAAAAGGGGAAGAGGGGCACTTCTAACACAAACCATGCTCTTAAGAACTGGGGGGATACAGGCTTTGTGCATGCAACGCCAGCCAATGTGTCAAATGTCTGGGTAAGCTCAGAGCCACAAACTCTAAAATGCAACTGGCATGCATGAGCGTGTAGTATTTATACACAGATACTGTTTTCTGTAGTTGCCAGAGTTGATTGACAAATGGTAGATGCCTCTGGAAAGCATCAAATGCAAGTGCACAGAACTCACATCAATGACTTACATGGCTGTAAGTGGTCAAAATCTACAGGGATGCCTGGGAGCTCTCAGAACAGAGCTGGGTGCTGAACCAAAGGCTCGTAGCTGCTCAGTAGGTCTCAATTTCTCCAAGGTCAATTTCACTGAGCTCCATTTACATACCACAGCCGCCTGAATTTCTGAGTTTACAGAAAATGCCCATTATTGAGAGAGCTCTTGAGTCCCGAGAATTAATTTGTGAAATGCTAACAAGGGAACAGCAAGACATCAGTCACAGCAAGACAGTGCTTCCGGCCACCTCCTGGGGCATGAACCGCCCCCCTCAAGTGTGCATCACAGTGGCAGGGCCTGGAGAGTCATTTTGTAATTAATGGAGAAGTTATCTGAAATATTGCACAGGGGCAAATGAAGCTTAGCTATTCCACTGCTTCCAGACTGTAAGTCAGCCAGAGGAAATGCTGGTTTTACTCAGAATAGTCTAGAAGGAGACAATGTGGTAACCTGATCAACACCATCAGGAAGGTGTGTTCTACAAAATCCACACTGTGCGGAACCCAGCAGGTGCATGCAGGGTGCCCAGGCCAGAGCTGCCAACACCAAAGCTGCTTCTCATTGATGAGGCTGTAGAAACCAGGTCATTCTGGCCCCCTAAAGTAACTCATTTCTAGTTACCTGGGATGATTTCCACTTGCTTTAAACTGATCTCCCTTAAAAAGATCAAAATAACGACATGAGCAAAATGTACAACCAGCCTACAATAGAGTAGTGAACCCGTAATCAGGTTAGTCAGCTCTCTGAAGGAGGCCCCATCTAATAACATCTTCAACACTGAAACATCAGTCCCTAGGTATAAACACTTACGAAATCCTCTGCAGGCTGGAAAAAGTCATTTCTGTTTATCTGCAAGGTTGAATTCCATTGATTTTGAATTCAAGTTTCTCCCCCCGGCCTTGAGTCCTGTCTGTCTGACATCAAAACCATGACAATATTAACCTCTCCCCAAGAGTCTGAGGCTTTCTCTTAGTCTCTCCCCGTAAGTCCCAGTGTGGTTCTGGTTTGAGGTCAGTGTTGTTCCTGGGGACTGGCTTTAACGTTCTTCCTGTCATCGTCAGCAGACTGTTCCTATTCAGACTCTATCCCTTTGTTTAGGTTCTTCTTGTGTGTTGTGTCTTCAGCCTGTGACCACATCCTCCCCCCTCCCCCCCAGCTGAGGACAACACTGAGCTCTTTCTGATACAGTGTTCTGGATTCTGTGTGCAACAATGACTTGAGCCACAGTTTGTTGCCAGCTCTGGCAAAGCTGTATACTCTGGGAGAAATGGACCAGAAACAGAAGTACGTAGAATTGAGTGCTGACGGTCCCTAGGAGGTAGCTGGTTTGGGTCTAGGGTGTCGGCTCAGCCCCTGTCCTGACACACGGCAGTCTTTTCACCTTTTAGTTGGAAGCTCTGCCCAAAAGCATAAATGGAAGTAAACCACCTGTGTGCTTGTGCCTCTCACCTAACCTCTTGGGGAGTAGGCTCCATCTCCTTTCAAGACTTCAGAGTAAATGATGTCCCCTTCATTCCTTCTAGCACTGACATCCTCTAAGACTATGAACTACCAGCTTCTTCCCACACCAAGAAATGACCTTCCTAAGGCCTGGAAGTTGAAAGGAATAAAAATGCAGCCCTTGCCCAAGGCTGAGGGCGTGCAGAGAGGCAGGGCTCCCCCCCTGGGGCCGGGCCCCCGCCCACAGACCTCCAGCTGCTTCACCAGTCTGCCTCGGTCATCCCTGAGGTGACTCTTGGCCTCCAGCTCATACTCCAGGTCTTTCAGCGTCTGCTCCAGGAGCTGCCTCTTCGTGAGTGCTTCGTCCTGAGCTCTCTGGTAGTCCCGTAACTCTTCCTCCATCAGGCGCATCTGGGGCGGGGGCAGACAGCAGACAGCAAGAGCACAGGCTGAGCCCAAAGGCAAGGAGCTCTGGGGGTGCCCACTCCGCAGGAGACCTTGAGCAACTCCCACCTGCTCCTGCGTCTTAGTGTCCTCTTCCATTAAAGAAAAGGGGAGTGTCTTCCTGCTACAAGAAGCAACTTACTGCATTAAAAGGTCAATTTAACAGATTTTGCTAAGCATTTTATAATTAACCACAACAAAAAATCAGTATGAGCAAACGTCCTCTTGTGAAGCTTTTACAAGATATTTCAGTGTGAGCATGTGTATGGGAGAAACTGGAGTGTAATGCAAGACACAGCTTTTACCAGGAGTCATGGTCAAAACCACTGGCAAACCCCTCAACTAGGCAAGTGTTTCCTGAAGGGTAATGTATCACCCACCTTTACCAGGGAGGTTTAAAATTTGAATAAATAAAAACTAAGTGAATGACCTCAAAGCAACCTACAGATACAAAGTCTAGCAATGTCAACATTTACATTTGGTGAAAACCAGTGTTTAAAAAAATATTTGAAATTACGGAGATCTTCATCTGCTGGTTCACTCCACAAATTGCTGCAGTGGCCAGGTCAAAGCCAGGAGCTTCTTCCACGTGTCCCACATGGATGCAGGGGCCCTAGAACCTGGGCCACCCTCTGCTGCTTTCCCAGGTGCATTAGCGGGGAGCTGGATTGGAAGTGGGGCGGTCGGGTCTCAAACCAGCGCCCACGTGGGATGCCAGCACCACAGGCTGCAGCTTTACCTCTTAAGGCTCAACACGCCCTGAAAACCACTGCTTTGCAGAAGAAAATGATCCAATGACCATAACGTACAGTGTTTTTTCCAGCCACAAGGTGGCACTGAACTAACAGTTTAGGAGAGTTAAGTCTGTTTTCACCTGCTCTGGTTTCTTCCAGAGGGGGATTTGCCATCTCCGCACACAGCAGGTTATTCTTAAACATGTTTGAGGAACTCACATGGAGACGCTCAGGGCTATCTGTTCGGTTCCCCAACCCTACCCTCCTGGAGAAGGCACAAGGCAACGTGGGGAGTCACAGTCTTAGAACACAACATACCAAGGGCTCGCTACAGGGAGTGTATGGAAATCAGTGGCAAACCCTATTATTGAATGTCATCATTTTGGGACATTTGTCTCAGGATAATTAGGGAAGGGCCAACAGGTTGGGCTGGTGTAGGACCATTAGGTTAGGAAATGTTTTCTTAGAAACTAACAGGAACCCCTGACATTTCTATGACAACATAGCCTTGAAGATGACATCTCCAAGAGAGCCGAGTCAGGATTCAGTGCTAACTGTGATAAAAACAGAGTGACAGTCATCCCACAGAACAAGATAAATCAGATATTTACCGGGTACAGAGGGTGCACCATAACTGCAAAGCATACATTAAGTCTCTCCATGACGCCATTTCCTTGTGTACAACATTGGGACAATTATAAAACCTACCTTATAGAGCCACCATGAGAATCGAATGAGATGATACCAGCAAGAGACATGAGTTTGAGAGTCAGACTAGGAGGCCAATGCACAGCCATGCTTCCTTCTTGGGAGGGACATGTTGGTGTTGCGAAGGATGCAGATACCCAACATGGCCTTATCATTCAGCACCCAGTGTGTCCCTAACACCAAGCAAGGGCCCAGCATCACAAGGGCATTCAAGGAGGATGTGCAGAAGAAAATAAATCTAGTGTATGAGAACAACTCATCCTGAATCAAAAGGAAGCAAACAACTACTGAACCATTTGAGGTTGTTAAAACACCATTTGCCAGGGGCTGGCACTTTGGCAGAGCAGGTAAAGCCACTGCCTGCATTGCCAGCATCCCATATGGGCACAGGTTCAAGTCCCAGCTGCTCTACTTCCAATCCAGCTCTCTGCAATGGCCAGGGAAAGCAGTGGAAGATGGCCCAAGTCCTTGGGCCCCTGCAACCATGTGGGAAGACCTGGAGAAGCTCCTGGCTCCTGGCTACAGATTGGCACAACTCCAGCTGTTGCAGTCAATTGGGGAGTGAACCAGCAAATGGAAGACATCTCTCTCTCTCTCTCTCTCTCTCTCTCTCTCTCTCTCTCTCTCTCTGCCTCTCCTTCTCTGTGTAACTCTGCCTTTCAAAATAAATAAATCTTTAAAAAAAATTGCCAAATAGGACTTAGTAAATCAGCTTGGGCCACTGCTGTGCTATAGTGGGTTAAGACCTGTGGCACTGGCATCCCATATGGGTGCCAGTTTGAACCCCATCTGCTGCTCCTCTGATCCAAAAGTCTCCTGTGGCCTGGGAAAGCAGTGGAAGATGGCCCAAGTCCCTGGGCCCCTGCACCCACGTGGGAGACCCAGAAGAAGCTCCTGGCTTCAGATCGGCTCAGTTCCAGCCATTGTGGCCATTTGGGGAGTGAACCAGGCTGGAAGACCTCTGTCTCTCCTCTGTAAAACTCTGCCTCTCAAGTAAATAAATAAAATCTTAAAAACCACCTGATTAGTGGTCACCTCTACGCCTGCATTCTCTAAAGATTCTCTTCTCTAGAACTCTTCTAGATCCACACCAAGAGCAGAAGAGGCAAGAGGCCCATTTCTTTGCAAGCAAAGATGGCAAGTACTACAGCATGCTCTAACCGAGAGCGTGAACTCAGCCCAGCCAAAACATACGATGAGAGACAATGAATAAAGCCGAGCTGGAGTTTTTCAAGGAAACAGAATGCCCCTGGCTCATTAATACACTTGTCTGAAACAACTCCATGACTTCAACATCTAAGTCTAGGGTACTGGGTCTTCCAAAAGTTTGTGGAAAATGTTTATTATGAAAAAAAAACCGCAATTTCTAAAACTTTTTGATTTTTGCACTAAAACATCTTTAAATTTAATTCCATTTTCCATGAACTTCTTAAAGTCACCTTATACCTCCAAAATGATCCAGGACTGCCATTTAAATGGAAATAGTATCTCACATAGGACTGTACCGAGTGAGAAAAATCTATGAGGGGGCTGGCGCTGTAGCGTAGCATGTAAAATTGCCACCTGCAGTGCCGGCATTCCATATGGGTGCCGGTTCCAGTCCCAGCTGCTCCACTTCCGATCCAGCTCTCGGCTATGGCCTGGGAAAGCAGTAGAAGATGGCCCAAGTCCTTGGGCCCCTGTACCCACATGGCAGACCCGGAAGAAGCTCCTGGCTTCAGATTGGTGTAGCTCCAGCCATTGTGGTCATCTGGGGAGTGAACCAGCAGATGGAAGATTCTTTCTCTGTCTCTCTGCCTCTGCCTTTCAAATAAATTTTTAAAAAAAGAAAATTTATGAGATCCATCTTTGGTTTTCATGCTAGAGAATCCTTTCCTTGAATTGTTGCTCCTTTATAAACAGTGCTAGTCTCCATTTGGGCTTCGCTACTGTCTGTGGTCCTCAGCTTCTTTATCTAACTAGAAAATCCCTAAGTTTCCATCCAATCCAAAGATTCTATCCTAAAAACTGTCATAGAGAAAGCAGTGCACACCACTTCAGAGGGGTCACTGTGACAGCAGTTATTCCAAGTCCAAACAGACCAGGCGTCCATTGCTGCTCTGGCCAATGTCAAAACCTCGCCAGCCCAAGGCAACAGAAAGGGAAACTTTTTCTCTTCTTTTTAATGTCAAAGAGAGCTGTGATGTCACTCTGCTCATTTCAGTTCTTACTTGGAGTCTTGTCTCTCTTGACCCTGAGCCAGAAGGATCTGTTATCAGGGCGTTTTCAGAAGTCCATAATAAATATCTATTGTTCTTTTACAGTCTCAGCACTGACTCATGCTTGATATTTCTTTTTGATCATCAAAGAAATTATAAGTTTATTTTTGAAAGAAAATTTGTTTTCCTGCGGAATTTTAGTGCTCTTGGCACGGGGGGAGGTGGGGGGGAATGAGCTTTAAAGAAAGGGAACCCAACATTTATCCGTGTCCAGGATGAACAATCCTTCTCCGTAAGCCCCACATGTTATCTCATTTATTAAGTCACTAGGATTCTGTGTGTTTTTCAAGATGTAGAAACAGATGTTCAGAAAACGGGGGCCACCTGCTTAAGGTTATGCAGCCGGCAAGAGGCATGGCCAGAAATCAGCATCCAGCTTCCCATTAAAATAATTTAACAAAGCTCTCTTTATGTTTCTCATTTCTCTAGAGGTCAAGATTGAAGGAAGCTAACTCAGAAGTTTCCTGGTTCTATTTTTCTTAAATATAAAAACCAAGAATACAGGTGAATCATTTCAGCACTCAGCTTCCTGAGAATTTTTTTAAATCTCCATTGTGGGGGCCAGTGCTGTGGCGCAGCAGGTTAACGCCCTGGCCTGAAACGCCGGCATCCCATATGGGCACCAGTTCTGGTCCTGGCTGCTCCTCTTCCAATCCCAGCTCTCTGCTGTGGCCTGGGAAAGCAGTAGAAGATGGCCCAAGTGCTTGGGCCCCTGCACCCACGTGGGAGACCCCAAGGAAGCTCCTGGTTCCTGGCTTCGTATCGGCGCAGCTCTGGCCATTGCAGCCATCTGGGGAGTGAACCATCGGATGGAAGACCTCTCTCTCTCTCTCTCTCTCTCTCTCTCTGCCTCTCCTCTCTGTGAACCTCTGACTTTCAAATACATAAATCTTTAAAAAGAAAAAAATCTCCATTGTGGTTACTCTGAAACTCTTGTCTAGCACTCTGATCCCAATAAAAATCTCTCTTTTCAAAAATGAATGGCAAAAAAAAAAAAAAAAAACAAAAGCCAGTTGCTAAAATTCCTAACTTAGGATGAAATGAAAACATAACTGCATATGTATCATCTGGGCACACCACTGAGCAGGGTGGATTTTCTTTGGACTGAGAAAAAGGTCTGATGAAATTGTGTCACTGCACCTCAGAACTGGTCGGTCCTTTGTGGCTCACAACACTATCCCCGTAACTACTGGGGAGTTAAGAATAAAGGATGAAGCACAAAGTCTGTCTTAAAAATCTACCCCCAGAGAGTATTTAAGACACACTCAACCCACATCGGAGTACCCAGGTTCAAGCTCCTGGCTCTGGCTCCCGAGTCCAGCTTCCCGCCAATTCAGACCCTAGGGGCGGTAATGATGGCTAAGTACCTGGGTTCCTGCCATCCATCCCCTGGGAGACCTGGATTGCATTCCTGGCTCCTGGCTTCAGATCTAGCACAGCCCTGGCCATTCTGGGGGAAGTAAACCAGTGGATGGGAGCGTGTGCTTGTTTCCCCCACCCCGGATCTCAGATTTCATAAACTAAAACAACCAACCCCCAAGTGCATGCAAAGCAGCTCCGCCTCAGAACCAAGGGCGAACCTGGCTGCCCGGGCGTTACCTCATCCTGCATCTTCACAGCCGCCAGTCGGGACTTCTCTACCTCCAGGGTTTTCTCCTTCAGCTGCCTTTGCATGTCTGCGAGCTCCCTGCGGTTTTTCTCCTTGTACTCATCCAGCTGGTTCTGGAGCTCCAGCGTCGACGTGCGCGATGCCTCGACGATGTCAGCCATCTGCAAGAAGCGAGGCAGCTGTGAGCCCCCTGCGCACTGGGCTCGGGTCCCCATGGGCTTCTCCCGCTCCTTCTGCAGGCTGCTCAAAGAGCGCGAAGCCCCTGGCCCCAGGCTGTCCGGGTCTGGTTCCCTCCGACTGGAAGCAGCCCGGGGGGACGTCACGTCACAGCCTTGGAGCCCGAGACCCCGTCCTGGGGTGAGACCCTTGCTGTGCCACACACCAGTAAGCGACCTCTCCGGGCCTCGGCGGTGGCTCTGTTAGAAATACTGAAACCATGGTATCGGCTGTAAACGGCTGTTTTCAGAGTTAAAGCGGTACGCGGATACAGAGAGAATCCTGGTTACACACAAAAGAGCTAGAAAAGTGACCGGCACATACAAAGGGGCAGCTGTTCGTGTCAGCCTCTGCAACGCCAACAGCCCATCAGCGCTGGGGCTTTCCTTGGCTGTGTGTCTCGGGGCGGAGGTGAGCAGGAGGAGCAGCAGCCACTGTGCTCTGACACTTCAGAACAAATCCGAGAGATGCCAAGAGGCACGGAGTCCAATTCGGGAAGCCCTGGTCACGTGGGCATGCACACCCGAGGCTGTTCCCGCCTACTGCTACGAGGAAGTCCAGGGCCCAGCATCCAGAGGGTACTGGCATTTTCTTTTGCCAGATCAGTTTCTCCGTCTCTGGGATTCTCACCAAAGCACACAGCTGCCTCGGGGGGATCTGCTACACCTGTGCTTGGAACAGCAGGTTTCCCTAGCTTTTGTCAGACCCTCCAGGGGGAAGGGTCCCAAGAGGGGTGCCCGCCCTCTACCCTCCCCCTCCTCCCGCGCCCCCACCTCCTTCTGCAGCTTCTCGATGGTCTTGTCCAGATGCCAGCGCTCATTCTCCATGTCGTTCTTCAGCCTTCGTAACTGCTCCTTCTGCTCCACCTCGTCCTTGAGCTGCTCGGACAGCTGCTTCTGCTCCTGCGTGGTCCGACTCAGGCTCCTCTGCAGACAGCGGGGAGAGGGCAGTGCCGTTACAAACCTACCAGGTCAACCACACAGCCACACCGCAAAGGAATCAGACCTTGACGTCAGCTACAAAGGGAAAGATCATACTAAAGCCATCACAGAGGCGCAAGCCATTGTTGGTTCTGAAATCAGAAACCAAAACATAAAAGTGACCTAACCAAAAGCATCCACAGGAACGAAGACGCAAAATAGGATGAGGCAGGCCGGCGCCACGGCTCAATAGGCTAATCCTCCGCCTAGCGGCGCCAGCACTCTGGGTTCTAGTCCCGGTCAGGGCGCCGGATTCTGTCCCGGTTGCCCCTCTTCCAGGCCAGCTCTCTGCTGTGGCCAGGGAGTGCAGTGGAGGATGGCCCAGGTGCTTGGGCCCTGCACCCCATGGGAGACCAGGAAAAGCACCAGGCTCCTGGCTCCTGCCATCGGATCAGCGCAGTGCGCCGGCCGCAGCGCACTGGCCGCAGCGGCCATTGGACGGCGAACCAACGGCAAAGAAGACCTTTCTCTCTCTCTCTCTCTCTCTCACTGTCCACTCTGCCTGTCAAAAAAATAAAAAATAAAAAATTTAAAAATTTAAAAAAAATTAAAAATAGGATGAGGCAGCACACTAACACAGCAAATGGCTGCTCTCGTCCAAAAATCTGCATGTTTGGGGCTGGCATTGTGGTATATACAAAAAAACCATCACCTGCTGCGCTGCTTCAACCCATGTCCTGCTAACATCCTGGAAAAAGCAGTGGAAGACAGACCAAGTGTTTGAGGGCCTTCCATTCCCTGTGGGAGACCTGGGTGAAGTTCCTGGCTCCTGGCTTCAGCCTGGCCCTGCCCTGGCTGAGGCACCCATCTGAGGAATAAACCAGTCGATGAAAGATTTCACTCACTCACTCTCTCTCTCTCCATGTAATTCTGACTTTCAAATAAGGAAATCTGCATGCTCATGCTCTGAAATTGAGGTCACCTTATACAGCTGACCAACCTTAACCTGCCCGGCAAGTATCTCCTCTGGTATGTAGCATTGCACCGAATATTCTAGAATTTCTCCCTATGCAGGTGGTTCCTACACTTCAAACAGCTAAACATGAATCTGTACACAAAGAGAATACTGACCCATGGACCAGAAGTCCACTTGGGTGAAGGAAGTTGTGGTCCACAGTATCCATGGACTGGAGTCAGATATGTAGAAAAAGGAATTTGGAAATCACAGGTTGGTGAACTTGATGAATAAAGGTTAAACTGAAGAGACCCTAGACAAAGTATGTGTGGGTGTTTAGTGACTCAGCACCAAAACCAGTACTGACTATGAAATGCGGCCATCATGGATGCAAATCTTCCCGGGTTCTCCCAATGCTCTAACTGCACATAGTCACTAGACAGGTGTCTTTGATGTGAACAACAGGCAATTCCACAACAAAACCCTAAAATGTCTTAGCAAGAAAATGGTGGCTTCTTAACATGTTTTAGGAAACAGTTATTCACCTAGTTATTCATTTCAGAGACAGCTCCCACCCACTGGTTGACGCCCCTTTAATGCCCACAACTGTGCCCCTTTAATGCCCACAACTGCCAGGAGTGTGCCAGGCTGAAGCTGGGAGCCAGAAACTCGTGGATGGCAGCAACCCAAGCATTGGAGCCATTGCCACTGACACCCAAGGTATACATTAGCTGCAGCTGGAATCGGAGGCAGAGCTGGGACTTAAACCCAGGTGCTCCGTATGGGATTAGGCATCTTAACAGTTATGCCAAATGCCCGCCCCAGGGTGCTTTCTTTAAATGGCTAAGTATTAGGACCATCGGCCTAAGAATATCAAGAAGAGGCAGAGTTCAGAACAGAGGGACGTGACCCACACAGACTGGATGGTCTACAAAGTGTTATCAGGTCCTGAGGGCTGAACTGGTTTGTATAGGAACTGCTTCAGGCCTACGTGGACTTGTGTCCCTGCCTAAGAACAATGATTTATATTTGTATAGCACTTAACAGTTTATTGGCTGCTGACGACATACAGGAACTCAGGCATCCTGAGAACACTCCCAAATCACGTTGGCCTCTCCTGGTTTGCACAAATAGGAGCAGCTCTGTTCTGCCAACCACATGACAAGGAGTTAAAAAACCACCCGTGGAGGTCTTCCGGGCCCTGGGCTCTGATGTGCTGGCTGCACTTTGAGAAACAGCCAACACAGCTGGGCTGCTGAAGTTAATGACTGCAGGGAACCAAGGTCAACAAGTGCACTTGGGGAAAAGACGGTGGCAAAAGGAAGGTAAGCAGAATTTCAGCACAGAAACAATTAGCAGGTGTGGGCCCCGCAGCAGCTGGGCACACACCAGAGGCAGGATCAGACCCCGGGATTTCTGCCGGTAGTTTATCTCGCGGTGTCAGAGACAAAGGGTAAGCGGAAGGAGTGTGAGAACTACTGAGGTATGGTTCCACTGGGTGGGAGAAAACTCTCACCAACGTGGATCTCACAAAAGTAACTTCCTGAAAACAATACATACAGAGCGCCAGCCTTAATTCTCCGTAGAACCTTCAGGGTCCACCTCAGTCCCTGCCCCTGGAGATCCCCCCAGCTTCTCTTTCTCCTCCTCTTGGACCCCAATTCCAAGGGCTGCAGGCTAACAGACAAGCCAGCCTCAGCTCCATTCAGCTTCCATATGATTCATGAATTTCTGCTGCTTCAGCCTTTGCTCTGGGGGCCACTGCAGACCCCACCATCTCACTCCTTCTGGCTGGGGAGGGAGGGGGGCACCAGAACCCTACTCCAAAATGTATTGCCTGAAAGAACAGTTTTTCTAAACCATTTTTAAAAAATACCTCCTGTATGCTTGCCTCTGTTGCTAGGTAGTAGGATCTGAGAAATCAGAAAGTAGATTTTGCATCTGGGTTGTTCATGGTGGGTTTGTCGCATAGTGTCAGGTTTACCATGAAGCTCTTGATAAAAACTCAGTGGTTGAAAATGCTCAGCCTTGAAAGTGATCTGAGATCTTCTTAAGCCAGAGGATTTAATTAGCTAGGAGACTCCTGACTTAAAATGCAGGTTCTAGCCCCTTCTGATGGAATCGTGATTTTTCTGAGGGTTCTGCCCACAGATTTGCATTTGAAACCTCCCCTAGTTAATTCTAATATATCCTACAGTTTAGGAGCACTGTTCTCAACAGTTTTTCAAGAAATATGTTCCAGTAAGTCACTGCTGAGGAAACATGTCCCAAATGCACATGAAAAGAAACCTAGCAACTCCATTTCCAAGACTAGCAACACAAGCCCATGAGCTAATAGTGGGGGCAAAAACTGGGCAATTTTGTCAGGCTGGAGAATTAAGACATGAAGTGGGTGGATATACAGTGGGTGTCCCTGAGCTTAGAAACCATAATCTGTCGATGGATGCAGAGCCTTTTATTGCATGATTAAGTGTGGCCCCAATTAATCATACTAGCAATGACCAAGTTGCAAGTGGCCTGTAGGCTTAAAGGAAAGACTGGCTTCATCAGAAGGAAGCTGGTCTCACACCCCTGGCCATACGACAGACCAGCAACAGTGGAGGCACTGGGCACGGTGTCAATACACAGAGGTCCAACGGGGCAGGAGGAGACCATGTAACCCTAATTCCCTGAAGGAAAGAACTGCCTGGCTCCAGCAGGTGATGGCTCAAGAACTTGGGAGACCCAGACTGAGTTCCAGGACCCTGGTTTCAGCTTAGCCCAAGGTATTGCAGGCTTTTGGGGAAGGATCCAGCAGATGGAAGATCTGTATCTCTCTGCCTTTCAAAAACAGGGCAGCGGGGGGTGGGGTGGCACAAGAATAACATTTTTATGACCATCTAGCACTTTCTGTTTGAATCACAGAAAATCAGATGCAAATCAACCAAGTTCTTCTGCTACCACAAAAAGAAACGTATTTATCATACAAGAGGATGCAGTAGATTGCTAAATGCACAAAGACTTTGAAATGTAAGATGCTTGTGGGAAAAAAAATGCCAGCTGCTTTTTCCTCTTCCTCAAGGACTAAGCTTCCTCTCGGTTGCCGCCATCTCCCACTCGCTGCTGGGAAAACAGGGCCCAGCCAAAGCAACACGTCTGGGATAATTTCCAGGACCCAGCAAAAGTAACACGTCTGGGATAATTTCCAGGGCCCAGCTGGAGATCAGGAGGTGGGCGTGGCTGGGAATGACATGAAGATCTGCAGGCCTCAAGGCCCTCGTCTGTCCTACACGCAGAATTCATCCCCAGTGGGAGCAGTGCAGCTTCCACGCGTGCAAATGTTCTGGATGGGACAGCCAAAGGAGGCCTTCGGAGAGGCCCCAAGAGCTGTGCCCAGTGCTGGGCGCAGCCACGGCCTGAAGCCACAGCTTTGTCCCTATAGGACACATGTGTTGCTCCTCTCTCTCTTCCTCTGACTAGCTCACGATGTTAATCCGCACCCGTAAGAAGCTGGGCCATCACAAGGCTTACACAGCAGCACAGTGAAACTGCCATCCGCACAAAATAACCCACACGTCTGTAGCAAAGAAAGAAACGCAAAGCGAAGGCAGTCAGACATCAGATTCAGGAAAAAAAAAAAAAAATCGAAGCTCTACTTTATGCAAAAATAAGTTCTCTGTTCAAAGCTGAGGGCGACTGAAAATTCTCCTCCTCTACACTTAAGGGGATCATTCTCTGTGCTTAAAGGAAAGCTGCAAATCTGAACCCCAACTCAGCTCAGAACACTTCTAACATGCCTCTTCCCACCTCTCCCTACTACACAGGGGTCTCTAGTGGAAAATCGTCAGACAGCTTGCCGCAACACTGGCTCTGAAGTCTTCAGAAACGCGCGTGAGGGATGCTTGGGTGCTGGTTCTTTACAACCTGAGCACAAGCAAAAGGCAAGGTGCACCTGTACCACATGACAGTCACTGGGCAAGGTCAAGTTAGAACTGCGCTGCAGGCTCTTCACTGGAATGGACTTCAATGATCTCTCCAACCTTCAAATGGGAAAACGGAATCTTCCAAGAGCCCCCTGGTTTTGAATAAAGACGGCTGTCTCGTTTCAAGGAAGTGACTTCCTCCGGCTCCTCAAATTCCCGCCTGGAAGGACTGCCCTCTAGGGAGTGCATTTGCTTGGAGGAGAAAGGAAATTGGCTTTGGCCAGAAAGCCGACTCCACGCTGCCGTGGGGACCCATCGTGCTGGTCTTCTCCCACAATTCCTATTTATCTTTGGAAAGCTGTCAAGCCCTTTAATTTCCAGAACAGGCTTTCTCAACCTTGGCACCCCTGGCCTCTGGGCCAGGCAATTCTTTGCTGTGGGGCAGCCCTGTGCTTTCTAGGATGCTCAGTAGCAACTTTAGTCTCCACTCTCTAGATGCTGGTAACATCTGCCCGGTGTGACAATCACACATGTCGCCACCCCGCCCTGTCCCCAGTGAAGAACTGCTGGTCTAGAGGAATACTTCCAAGCCCGGGGTAGTTATCAAAGACACAAGGACAGGACTGGCAGCAACCTCCACCTGTCCCTCTGATTTGGCTTCCTTGTGCTTCCTGGAGGAGAGAGTGTGGCTACAGCCCACAGTGTTTACCTGGGCATCCGTCAGTTCATTCTCCAGCGTCTTTCTGGCGGACGTGGCTTCTTTTTCTTCCTTCCTGGCATGCGCGAGGGCCTCCTCTAATTGCCGCACTTGTCCCTGCAGGGAAATACTGGCTTAGGACGAGCTTGGACGCGTGCTAGGCCTATGAAGCTGACTCAGTGGAGTGAAATGGATGCGGGAGACATCCGTGGACACAGCATGGCTGTGGTGGCAATGCACCTGTCATGGGCCCAAGGTGACACACAACAGCTGTGTGCTTGGATGTGTGCCTGCCTGTAGTTCCACTTCTTAGCCAAGTCTGAACATCCAAATTACCTAGGGGGGGGTTTCAAACCCACAAATATCCAGGCTGACCTTTGGAAACTCAGAAACTCCAGGCACTGAATGGGCCCAGGGACACACGGGTTTTAAAAGCTGTGAGGGTGATGCTAAGGGGTGTGTTCCCTTTCACTGTCAGCTGCCCATTCTTCTGCCACCCACTTACATCTCTTGCTTCCAGCTTCCCACTTCTAGAGCTCTAGCAAACTGGGTAATTGGTTTGCTAAAACCTGTGTGCCTTCAAAGACATCAACTGATATTAACAAAGGACAAGCAGCCTGGCCGGCGCCGCGGCTCACTAGGCTAATCCTCCACCTAGCGGCACCAGCACACCGGGTTCTAGTCCCGGTTGGGGCGCCGGATTCTGTCCCGGTTGCCCCTCTTCCAGGCCAGCCCTCTGCTGTGGCCAGGGAGTGCAGTGGAGGATGGCCCAGGTGCTTGGGCCCTGCACCCCATGGGAGACCAGGAAAAGCACCTGGCTCCTGGCTCCTGCCATCGGATCAGCGCGGTGCGCCGGCCGCAGCGCACCGGCCACGGCGGCCATTGGAGGGTGAACCAGCGGCAATGGAAGACCTTTCTCTGTCTCTCTCTCTCACTGTCCACTCTGCCTGTCAAAAAAAAAAAAAAAAGGACAAGCAGCCTTGAGTGAGAATGGGCCTGGCCGAGGTGTCTGGAGGCCTTGGCAAAGCCTCAGAAGGCTGATCTTGCCTGATATCAAGGTGAGCAAGGACCCTGGGCCCATCCAGTGTCTCCCACTGCTTCTCATCCCTCACCCAGATCTCCCATTCATACCATTCCTAGAGGAAGAAAAGAAAGGGCGTGCAGAGAGGAGCTACTCAGTCGTCCTGCCCCTTCCCTACTAACTCACGACAATGCATCCCCTCCCCGCTTCGGAAACCACTCACTCAGGGAGGATGGACCGGCTGCCGTGGAGCCCAGGCTGGGCCCACGAAGCCTCACCTCGTACTTCTGGAGCGTGTCCTTTGCTTTGGCTTCATCGCCTTTCAGGTCACTGACGTGCCTCTGCAGCTGGGCCGCTCTCCGCTCCAGCTCTCCAATCCGCCCCTGCAGCTTCTCATTCTCCTCCTTCAGCAGCTGCTCACGCATCTCAGCCCCCACCTTGTTCTGCTCAGAAGTACTGCTCCGGCTGGCCAGGACTTCGACATTCTGTTAAGAATATGGCGCAGTGAACACAGGGAAACAGGGGTTCATGGGCTGTCCCCAGGCTGGGAGAACAGCTGATGCTTATGAAAAACCCACAACATTTCAGGCCCTGCACTACACCTGCAGCCCACACCCAGTCCACCACATGCTTCACAGATGAAGTGCTGGGGCCGATGTTGTGGCATAATGGGCAAGACCGCCACCTGCAATGCTGGCATCCCGTATGGGCACCAGTTCGAGTTCCCGGCTGTTCCACTTCCCATCCAGCTCCCTGCTAATGGTCTGGGGAAAGCAAAAGATGGTACAGGTGTTTGGGACTCTGCCACCCACGTGGAACACCCAGATGAAGCTCCCCGCTCCTGGGTTCAGCCTGGCCCAGTCCTGGCCATTGGGGCCATCTGCAGAGTGAACTAATGGATGGAGAACCTCTGTCTCTCCCCTTCCCTCCCCATCACGTAACTAAACTTTCAAATAAATAAGTGTTAAAAAAAATAAAAGAAAAGAAGTGCTTCAAGAACACAGCAATGCTCACTAGGTGAGTTCTGCTTCTAAGCTGCAGAAGTAGCACTGAGGGGCTGCGGCGGGGGCCACAGACCCGTGGTGTCGCGGGACCCAGAAGACTTTCTGTCTGGCTCATTATAGAAAAGTTTGCCAGTCTTGCCTGTGTTAGATCCTTTGCATGAGATTTCAGCCTTTTGACAATTCTAGGAGGTGGGTGCTGCTTCTTAGAGAAGAAGAGGTGGGGACTTTAGCCAGACTAAGCAGCTTATCCAGGATCCCCAGGGGGAAGTGCGTTCAGACGAACTGAGTTCGCCTTCCAGGCCCTTTGCTTCTGATGCGTTCACTGCCCTGCTTCCCTACCAAGGGGCAGGGCCCTTCACGGAAACTCTTGATGAAAGGCAGCTTCTGTGTACCGGGTTTTTCTTTTTTTTTTTTTCAATGCCCATGAGAAAACAGAAATTAAAAGTTGCTTTTCATATAGTGCATAGTGCAAGTTCTGGCAGAATCCACTGAAAATGACCTTGTGCTGCACACAATTCACAACAGAATGGAATGCATCAACTGCAGGATGACGACTGTTAATTGCACATGTCACGTGGGCTTTGTATTCTTAGTTCAGCAAGCTGACGTGATGATAAGCAGTTCCTGTGCAGCATTCCCCCTCTTCAGGCAGATCTCTTGCCTGTCCTCCATTTTTCTGCTACCACAAAGATGTCAGTGTCAGCACATCTCATGCTCATGAAACGGCGCAGCTGCCTGCGAGAAAACAGAGACTCAGGCAGGGCAAGTCACAGCTTCCAAAGCTCCTGCGATGGCCCACTTGGGAGAGCGATCTGCTACATTTGCTTGCTTGCTTGCTTGCATAGCCCTTTGGAAAGAACTTTAAATCTTTTACCAGCACAGTAGGCTGTATTATCCTGAACTTTATCAAATAGCGAGTTTCAGAAAGCCCAGCATCTTTTCACAACCCAAATGTTCAATTCAGTACAGCAGAGAGATGCATCGGAGCCAAGCACCTGTGTTACAGTGAGGCTACGGCTGGCACTGCCCGGAGAGCGAGGTGGCAGGCAGCGGGAATGCGTCAGGACCACGTGGGTGCCATCTCCTAATGCAACCTGCAAGAGGAGGCATTCTAAAGATGAACACAATAGACAAAGTGTGGTTGAAATACTGATGAGGGATCTGAAGAATCCAGGAACTGATTACACCTGGGAAAGAAAGAGAACAGCCTATACTGCCCATTCCTAAGCCTCCCATTAAGGAGAATGCAAAGCTACAGTTTATTACCAAGACAAGGTGGTACCGGCCTAAGGGTAGACATACAGATCAATGGAATAGAATTGGGAATCCAAAAGTAATCCCATACATTTGCAGACCACTGACTGGCAACAAGGGTTACATACTGAGTCAACAAGGAAAGCACAGGCTTTAACAGCGGTGCTGAGAAAACTGGACATCCACGTGCAAAAAAGGAAAGTGAGACCCCTTCCTTGTACACACAGCGAGGGACTCAACTGCACCATAGATCCAACTGCAAGAGCTGAAACTGTAAAACTCTTTAAGAGGAAACAGGAGTAAACGTGACCTTGGGTAAGGATAGGGTCCTCAAGCACAAGTGACTATAGAATACGTAAATCAGACATCTTCAAAACAACTTTTAGGCTGCAGATGATACTACCAAAAAGTGAAAAGACAATCTATATGATAAGAGGACATATTTTCCAATCATATTTCTGATAAAGGATTCAGATCCAAAATACACAAAGAATTCATCAATAAAAAAGATAACCCTGCCTGCATACAGAATATTACTTGGCACAGAAAGGAAATACAATGCATGCCACAACACAGACGAACCCTGAAACCATTATGCTAAGTCAAAGAAGCCAGCCACAACAGATCCCACACTGATATTCATATGAAACGCCTAGATCAGCAAATCACAGAGACAGAAAGTACAGAGTGGTTGCCCGAGGCAACAGGGAGGGAGCTGGGAAGGGGGACAGAAGTGACTGCTTCATGAGTATAGGGTTCTTTGGGGGGAGTGATAGCAATGTGCCAACACGGAGTAACGTGCCACAGCTGAACTGCACGTTATGTGGATTGTACCTGACTATAACTGTTTTTAAAAAGCTACAAGTCAAGGGAGACTTGGAGGGGCTGGCACTGTGCCGTAGTAGGTTAAGCTGTTGTCAGTAGTACCAGTGTCCCACGTGAGTGCTGGTGGGAGTACCGGCCGCTCCACTGCAGATCCAGCCCCCAGCTAATGCATCTGGTAAAGCAGCAGAGGACAGCCCAAGTGCTTGGGCCCCTGCACCCACGTGGAAGACACAGATGGAGTTCCTGGCTCCTGACTCCCAGCTTTGGCCTGGCCCAGTGCTGGCCACTGCAGCCATTTGGGGACTGAACTGGTGGGTAGAAGCTCCATCTCTTCCTCACTTTGTAATTCTGACTTTCAAATAAATAAATAAATAAATCTTAAAGTGGGAGTGGACAGTGGGGACAGGGAGACCAAGAAGACAAAGGAGCAAGGGTGGAGAGAGACGAGGTGTTTGCTCCGTGTTCAGGGACTTGCTGAGGAGTTAAGAGAGGAAGAGAGGACTTTTTGGCGAGACAAGGAACACTCACACATTTGTCCAGATTCTCAGGAAGAAGGGGGATACTAAGAACCAGACCTGATTTAACCTTGTTTTGGGTCTAAGGGCACCAGGAGACACTGGATAAGGGAACCAGGACTGTACTGCGGTGTTTAGAGCTTTGTATGTGAGCACACGACTCCATGTATGGCTGGCAAGTGTTCCCTCCGCTCCCAATTTCCACAGTGGTGAGGCTCAGTATGACTTCAGGGGAGCCTGTGTAGGTTGAGATACTTAGCCCTGTTCTGATTATTATGATTTTTTAAAGATTTGTTTATTTGAAAGGTAGACTTACAGAGACAGGTCTTCTATCTGCTGGTTCACTCCCCAAATGGCTGCAACGGCTGGAGCTGAGCCAATCTGAAGCCAGAAGCCAGGAAATTTTTCCAGGTCTCCCAAGTGGGTGCAGGGGCCCAAGGACCTGGGCCATCCTCTGCTGCTTTCCCAGGTACATTAGCAGGGAGCTGGATCAGAAATGGAGCAGCTGGGACACAAACTGGCACCCATATGGGATGCTGGCACTGCAGGCTGGGGCTTTAACCTGCTGTGCCACAGCACCAGCCCCTGTTCTATTTGTAATTGATGTTTTTCTCTGTCTTCATAGTGTGGTTGAACACATCATGTTAACAAATATTTTTAATGTAAGCCTCTGTTGACCAATTTATCCAGAAACCTCTCCCATCCCATCCCCAGCACACATACCCTATTTACCATTTAAAACGAAGTCCACAGAACTTCCTTCCCTGAATTCGTAACTGCATAATACAACCGCAGCAGTCCTCAGCATAAAAAAAAAAAAATCATAGCCTTTGTTCAAGGCAAGAACACATTGAGTATCCCTTCTCTGACATGCTGAGGACCAAAAGTGTTTCGGATCTTGAAATACTTGCAGACTATGGCTAGACAACCCTGATTCAAAAATCCCAAATCCAAAATGCTCCAAGGTTCAGATTTTAGATTTCCCAATTTTCATATGAGGGTGCTCGGCCTGTGCTACATGCAAGTTCTTCTTCACAACCATCCAGAGAACAGAAAACTGGGAGAGGACCTCCAAGGCCTTCCGAGCCCTGAACTGCTTCCATCTGCGCATCATCTCTTCCAAGTGCGTGAGTCTGTGAATGCAGCTCAGGCAGCAGGACCAAGTCCAGGGATGGTAGAGACCCACTCAAGTACAAGGTCACCGGGGACCAACGCTGCTGGCCACACGAAAGCCACTGGTCTGTCTGTGATTCTTTGATTCCTGTGCCCTGGATTGTAACAACATTAGAGAAAATGTTCCAATGGGAATGAAACCTAAGAGCACACAGATCTACTGATCCATTTAGCCATATCGTGCCACCCACGTAATGTTTATTTTTAATAGGAATATATGAATTTGATTTTTTTTTGAAAGGTAGAGTGACAGACCTCCCCTCTGCTGGTTCACTCCCCAAATGCCTACAAGCGCTGGGCCTGAACCAGACTGAAGCCAGGAACTCAACCTAGGACTCCCATGTGGGTGGCAGGGACCCAAGCACCTGAGCCGTCACTCACTGCTTTGCAGTGTCTGCATTAGCAGGAAGCTGGACTAGGAAGAGGAGCTGGGCATCCAACCCAGCCACCCCAGCACTGCTGCAGGCATCCCAAGCATTGCTAACCGCTGAGCCAAATGCCCTCCCCAGTTCTGAGTATTTTAACTACTAGTCAAACATACAGGCAGTCATAAATAGTAACAAAATCCAACTCTAATTCTTCTGCCACCCCCTAAAGTGGCAAACACCACAGGAGGTCACCACAATGGCAAAAAGTAACAACCATTCTACTCTCTATTGTTTTGTCCAAATCGGAGGATTGCTAAAACCTCTACGATGATCTTTTTTTCACCTA